ACATTTTTCAGGATAACTGCGGTTTCATTTGAGTGCTCGTCAGGATCAACTTTGGGAAGATATTGAAGTTGTGCTTAAACTTTCTTTTGTTACTTTTTAAAAATTCGCCATTGTAAATTTGTCCTAAAAAGAGATGTATATATATGTTTTGACTGCCACATCTCAGGAATATCAGTATTGTAAATTCTTGGGGTGTGACAGGTTTATTCATAATTGTGATTTTCATCCCAATTCCCTTGAAACGTTAGGAAAAAATGGTTGTGACCGGGCACGCTTGATGTTGATTAACAAGCTCTTCTCCAAAATCCAAATCTTTGGACTATGTTTCAACAATTTCTAGATTTTATTTTATTTTTTCATAATTATATCTTAGGCACGAATTCCGTCCCCCATCCCGTAAACAAGAAAAAGAACACGACTTTCTAAACCTTAAAATATAAATTGTCTCTCCCAAAAGGAAATCAAAGAAAGTTTTAGGAAAAATGGTAATATTTGTTAGAGGAGAATGGCCTATGTCCAATGGCAATTGTATTCCTTCTTATTCTACTTCTTTTTTTTTTTTGGTTAGTTTCATCTTAGGAATCAAACTTGAGATGCAGCATTGATAACGCTCATAGCTAACCACTCAAGCCAAGCCCAATCCTAATTGCAATTGTAGTCGTCCATGCTACCATAACCGCACCTCAAAAAACCAATGCTTTTAGGGATTGAGGCACTGAAACTCTATAAATCCATCCTTCGGACCTCCAAGACAGATCCTAAAGAAAATGACTTTGGAGAATTTAAATAGTTCATCTTGATTGGTCTCCCAACATCATATTTCAGGATCTTGATGACACTCATTTGATAGATTTTTGAGGTGCACCAGACTACAATCGCAGTCATATAGAAACTTACACCTTTATTAGGGATTTTTTAGATATAATATCACCTGTATGGCGATTAACTTAACACACATAGCAAAGGAAACACTTGCAAACGATTTATGGATAGCCAATTCGTTTACCAATAAATTATTATTATTTATATGCCTTTTTTTTGTTATTCATTTCTTTTTTTTTGACATGACATAAACTCGGCCGAGTTACTTGTACTTGGCAAAATAATTCACCTCGGCCAAGGTCCAAGTACATTGGCCCAGTTGATTTTCTGAACACTGTTTTAGATTGACTGAGCTAGAGGTTGATTAAATTTTTTTTGGTTGTGATTAAATTGAATGGGATAAGTTGGTGTGCATGGAGGCTACTCTGTCCGGTATGTGGCCTAGCATCAAGTGCCCAAGCAACAATGGAATCTCAATGTGGAAGTCCTTGTGGAAGAACAGTGGGGTCTGCACAAACCTCGAATTAATCGAGTACTTTGAGAAAGGCCTAGTCCTCTATTATGAACTCAACCTCCTCAATGCCCTCAAAAAGCATGGTCAGTTACTCCTAGACCTAGATTTTGTTTTCCTACCCCAACCTCTAACGGAGTAATAAGACTGACTATCATGCACCATACACAATAAGTAGTACTTCTTCGATAATAGATCACATACTCAAACAATCAGAATGGCGAAACATAACAAGAAACACGAAGTAGTATTCCACTATATTGTACCTCAATGGACTAAATATCAAATAGAATGTATATCTAGTTCGTTTGTGCCTGTAGTTTCCATCTTCACAAATAAATCAATGTAAAATTCCCATCTACAGTTATTTCTTGGGTTCATATTTCGGCAAGAATATGATTACAAATATTTTAGAGGGGATCTTCAGGTGAAAGTAGTGTAGATCTCATATGGGTTTTGATAGTGATTTATTTTGTTGAGAATGTGGGGAGCATTGCAGGCATCGTGCCGGATGGTCGACTATACCAACTTGCAGACATCAAACAAGCACTGAAGGAGGAGATAGGGGAGGAGGTTGGGATTCGATGCAGTACCAACTTGGAGGGAGAATTTCAACTCTATGAAGTCTATGTCTGCATCGACAAATCCTTCACCACAGGTGTGATACCTTGCCTGACCTTGCCCTACTTTACATGCTCAGATGAGATACTCTTCCCTGCGTTCAATGTCCAAATGCTCAAGAAGAATGGGACTAGGAACTCACTCGAGCTCCAAGTTGAATGATAGCCATGGCACTAAGAGAACATGTTGCTTCTCTTCTCATTTCGAGCTCATCCAGTGTGGTGTACAAGAATTTGTAGTCATTTTTGGGCTTGATATGAATAAGATTGTGGTTTGTCTTTATAAACATTCCAATAAAAGCAAGCAAAACAATGCAAAGCTAGAAAGCCGTTTGTTTTTTTTGGTAGATCAATGGGGAATATAAGCTCTACCCCTTTCATAAATAGTTAGTGGTTTTTGAATGGTCAATGGGAATAGAAACTTATACCGGTAGCTGAGACTCTAGTAGTGCTACCACCACGACCTCAACCCTATTCCCAAAGCTAGAAAGTTAATGTCCCAAATAATAGAAACAACAAGGAGAAAAAAAAAACTTAATGTCCCAAATAATAGATAGAGGAAGAAAAAATATATTAATATTAAAGAAAATAAGGAATAACTAGTATGAGGGGATGAAATAAGTAACTTCAAAGTAGGAGAATCTCACAAGTAACAACCGCTTCATGGGAACCATCGCCTTTTCTAGTAAAGCATTTGGGCAACCTCCTTAAAATGGAGGAAAATTATTAAAGAAATTATAAAAAATATCCTGATATTTTTAAGAAATTTAAAAATGGTTGAGGTTTCTCTAAGGCATAGGCTTCGTGACAACACAATAAGGCCTCACGTCAAATCTTTGTCCAGAAAGCACTTTCAGCAATTTAAATCTCTATAATGTAATTTCCAATACCGACAATAAAATTTGATATTAAAAAAATGGTATAGATCTTGTGGATCTGCGAACATTTATTTTAAAAGCAAAATAGACGGTCTAGATAATTTGTTACAATATAGACAATTCTTAGAGCTTGAATTCCTAATTTTTTCTACAAGTATACTGTTAAAGTCCAGATGATCGATGTAAAGGTTTTTCAATACTTGACTTGCAATTTTTGATGATCTATGAAGTGAGGATTTACTTATGTTAATAAGACTAGAACCCTATCAAACCATTTTCTTTTACAAATGTCAGATTTTTTAAGAATTACTTTCCTACCCAACTTCTTTTTTTAAAAAAACCTAGAATGCCCTTCACGGCCTGGACTTGCCTTAGGGGCTTCTCTTGGGCATCAGAACGTTATTTGAGTTGTGATGCACTATTACGACCCTATTAGGGCTATGATGCCCAATGCACCACATGCATCAGAGCTCTAATAGGGCAGTGATGCCTAATGAACTCTCATTTGTGTACCCTTGCATGCATCAAAAGTGTCAAAGGCACCCAATGGATTGCCTTGGACATCAAGGCCCTGATGGTGCATTATCACGGCTCTAATAGGGTTGTGATGCCCAAGAAGCATAATAGCAGGTCTCTTTGCCATCGCAGCCCTATTAAGGCCGTGAAGGGCATGCAGAGTTGACAAAAGGTTTGGATGCAATTAAAAAAAAGAGTTTTTTTATTTTATGAAAAAATATATGGATATTTTTTATAAGTCTTCAAATTATTATGAGTCTTTTAGACCAAACCTCTCATTCACCTATTCTTCACCTTTGACGTACTCCAAAGCTAGACTTTTCTCTAACCTCTCAAAGTTTCTCAAATATGTTGATCTTAGGCTTTCTGGATTTATTCTTATGCAGTTAAAACTTTATACTAAAAATTATAGGGCTTCCTCTCTTTCTTATCCAAGGTCTCTATACTCTATTGTTGAGATTATCCTAGGGTTTCTAAGTATCCTTGTCTTTTGATGTGATTGTTCAATCTCACCCCCTTGGTTTAAAAACTTCACATCCAAGGTTTGGAGGTTGATGTTCTTTATCTACCTAAGTGCTCTCTCTCTCTCTCTCTCTCTCTCTCTCTCTCTCTCTCGTCTCGTCGTCGTCGTCGTAACGTCGTACGTACGGTAACGCGTAACGTGGAACGTCGACGTACGTAGACGTAGTCG